ACCTCGGCTCCCCGCAGCCTCCGACCCGTGGCTCCCCTCAGCCCCAGGCCCCAAGTTCACGGCTCCCCCCAGCCCCGGGTCCACGGTTTCCTCCAGCCCCGGGCCCCAAGTCCACGGCTCCTTCCAGCCTCGGGATCCCGGTTCCCCCCCAGCCCCTGGACCTTAGCTCCTCCCAGCCCCCGACCCGTGGCTCTCCCCAACCCCAGGCCCCAAGTCCACGGATCCCTCCAGCCCCGGGACCCCAGCTCCTCCCAGCCCCGGGTCCACGGCTCCCTTCAGCCCCAGGCCCCAAGTCCACGGCTCCTTCCAGCCCGGGACCCCGGCTTCCCCCACGCCCGGGCTCCAAGTCCTCGGCTCCCCACAGCTCTGGGACCCACGGCTCCCCATAGCCCCGGGCCTCCAATCAGCGCCTCCTCACAGCCCTGGGACCCTAGCTCCCCCAAGTCCAGGGCCCACGGCTCCCCACAGCCCCGGACCCTGGCTCCCCCCAGACCCGGGACACTTCTGGAGAAGAAGCCAGGAGCTGGTCCAATGGCAGGTGCCATCTGCACCCAGCACCCCGCAATTCTGGAGAGAGCATGGAGGTGCAGGGAGAGGAGAGAGCCCGGACATGAGTAGGTAAAGTCCCCCAGACGCCCACGCTGTGCTGCCAGTGCCTTTTACACGCGGAGGCTGTGGGGGCTGAAAGACGACCGGGAGCCCTGGCTTGACCAGGGCTGGAGAGGAGGAGAGCACCAGCCTGCATCCCTCGGAAGCCGAGTTGGAACTGTAGAAGGAGCCTCCTGCTGCAGTCTGCTGGTGTTCGGTGCAGATCCAAACCGTGGATGGGCTCCAGGGCACGCCCAGTGGGGGCGGCTGCTTCTCTCCCCGGTGGTGCTGGTCGCTCTGCAGCTCGGCCCTGGGGGAGCCAGGCCCAGGACAGTGCCCCAGTCGGAATCTTTGGGAGGTGGGACCTGGACACTGGGCCAAGGCTCACCCTCTGAGGCCCCAGGCACGAGAGGGAAGATTGTGCTGTCCCTTGCCACTCACAGAATAGTAAGAAGAACAGCAGCCCTAAGAATGGCGCGCAGTGGAGTAAACACGGGCAGGCTCAACCGTGCCTTGACTTCCCAGGCTGCGCAGAGACTCTGACCCTCTTTCTGAAATGGTAGGGCCCACATTGTCCTCTCCACAGTCCCATTCCTCTGTGGAGGCTCCTGGCCGGTGGGGCCTGCCTGCTAGAGGGCTGCCTGGGCCATGAGAGCGCAGAGTTCTGGCCAGAGGCCTTCAGCTGGGATTCTGAGACCTAAGCCACGGGGTGAACAGACGCTCAAGGGGTGGGGCCTTCACGCTCCTCGCAGAGGCAATGGGTTTATTTTGCTGTCTTTAGGTTGCAGGGTTCTAAGGCAAATCCTTACGTTAACCTCAGATCTGGAGGAAGGAGCTTTCCCAGGTGCAATGGGCTTTGCTGTCCACTTTCCCCGGAAGCAAACGCTTGGGCCCTCACCTGGGCTGGAGGATTCCATCCAGGCATCAACTCTGTGTGGGGAGAGTTTTTTCCTTTGATTCCTGGCGCAATCTGTCTTCTACTGTATCTTCAGTTTTCCGATGTTCAACCCTCTTTTTTCAACCTCTTTACCCCATCTGAAAACACAGCTACCCTCATTTCCAAACCAAAGATAGCCATTAAAATGCAACCCTCCATACCGCTTTCACGCCTCCCTCTTCACTAAGAGGACCCAGTGCTTGTTTATAGAGTGAAATGTGAAAAAAAATTTTGTTCTTAATTTGAGAAAATTAAGCTCAGCCAAAAAAAAAAAAAAAAAAAAAAAGAAAGCATCTCCAAATCCAGACGTACTGTTTTCTCACTATGGTGTGATCTGCACGGATGAGAAGAGTAACACCCGTGCGGCTTCTGCTAACTGCTCTGGGGACTCCGCGGGCTGCGTCTGGGCCCCGCCTCTCCTGCACAGGGTGTGCCTCGCACACACTTGATCAGCATCGAAGGGTGCTGTTGCCCTGCCAGGTAGACGTGGCTGCCCCCGGGGTCTTCCTGGACTTGTTAACCTCCTGAGGCCCCTATGGCTCTCAGGAAGAAGCAGGAGTGGGTGGGCAATTCTAATTGAATTCTAATTGAGAAATACGCTGCGATGGTAGACAGGCCACTGTGTTCCAACTCCTGTCCTCAGCCCCCAGCCCCTATGCCAAGCTTGATTTCAATCCAAAATCCTAGAAAGAGGGTTGGCAAACTTGGGCAGAGAGCCAGAGAGTAAACACCAGGCTGTGTGGGATGGGTGGTTTCTGTTGCTTTCCTCTGGGCTAGTGGAGAAGCTACTTCAGACAATACGTGAGTGAGTGTGGGTGTGTTTCAATAAAACTATGGATGGACACTGAAATTTGGGTTTCACGGAATTGTCACATTGAGGAATAGCAGTCTTCGTTAGATTTTTTGTTTTTAAACATTAAAAAATGTAAAAACAGTCTCAGCTCAGGGGCTATGTGAAAACAGGCCTCAGACCAGATTTGTCCCAGAGGCCAAAATTTGCCTAGCTCTGTCCTGGAACATAAATCCCAGGGAGTGCCCAGAAACGGCAGGGTTCACGAAGGGTTTTGTGACTCCTTTTCAAGAAGTCACACGGAAGTCACTTCCTGGGCTTCTCAGCCTCCTGGAGTGGATCACCATCCGGAAAGCCAGAGCGGCCGCACTGAGGAAGAGCTGGCTCCCCGCAGGCCCGCTTGCCTCCCCGGCAGGTGCTCTGCTGCTTTCTTGCCAAATCTTGCAACTGACCAGCATTCCCTGCATGTCTGCCCCATGTTTCCCCTGTGGGTGTGATGCTGACAGCTCTGTCAACCCCCTCAGACAGTGACGTCATGTGCCTGCCTCCTAGGACCAGTAAAAAGTCCCAAAGCCTGACCAATCCCACCCGTTGAGAGAACGGAGTCTACACGCTCAGTGAGAATTTCCTTCACATTCCCAGCACTACCTCGTGGAAGACGATGAGAAACACAGATGACAGTTTGGGAGCGGGTTCTGCCACATCACAGACACTGAAGAGAGTCTCTGTAATTTCTTTAATTATTCAAACAATAGAGCACAAAGATAACAGTTTCAAGTACATTCTGATACACGTTTTGACAGGAATAGATATGCATTTAGTCATGAGGGAGGCTGGCAGCAACCACCAAGCGTACATTTTGCACAAACTCTTGGCTCCGTCAACCCTGAATGCGAAGTGGGCCCCTCGTCCTGGCGGGGCTGAGCTGCACCCTCTTGATGCCCTGTACCTAGTTTCTCTAAGCAGTGGTTTCCTTTCCTTGCCTGTGAAAAAGAGAATTTTAAATATAAAGCAGTGGGCGGATCTTAAGAAGACAGACCAGGAGGGCTGGGGACAGCACCCAGCAGCATGGACACTGCCACCGGGCCTGTCCAGGAGGCAGTGCCACCCAGGAGTCAGGATTTCCCGTCTGGGTGAGGGTCTGCTCCAAGGTGCCCCAGTCACCAGCAGAGCTGCACCATGGCCTCAGGCACCTTGGGGCTTGGCCGATGACTGGCTTCTCTCTGACCATCTGGGCCGCACGGCCACATCGCCAGGTCTGTCAACACAGCCAGAGGAGCTGCTGTGCCCAGTGCTTCTGGCTTCACTTTTGACTGACTTGAAATTATACTGAACTGTCAAAAGAACAGAAACCATCACACTTCCTCCGAGATTGTAAACATCAGCCTGGAACCTGCTGACCATCTAGAACACCAAAGCAAAGTCTTTTACAGAAAATGGCTGAGGACTGCTCCTGCACGGAGGGCCCGGCCCTGCGGAGGCTCCAGAGGCCCTGTGCCATCCACCTGGGCACACAGCCTCCCCGGAAGGCCACTCAAGGGCAGACCCTCAGCAGCGCAAACCTTCAGGGACTGGTCCCAGCCTCAGGAGCGAGCCCCTGCCAGGTGGGGCTGAAGTCTGTTCACTCCCACTCCCTAAGCCTGGACCACCTTCCACACAGGCTCCAGCTGCTAGGAGGCCCCGAGCTCACGCAGCGCCACCCTTCCAAGGCTCAGCCTGCTCAGATAATTTAGCCCAAAGCACAAAGCATGGCAGACATCTTCTGTAAGCCAAAGAACTGGTAGTAGTCCTCCACCTGGGACCCTGACAACCGCCAAGGGCAGAGACCCTCTTGGCCTCCAAGGCAGCATGAAGCATGGAAGGACCTTCCCCAGCCCAGCAGCCACAGCAGCATGCTCACTCAACAGGGATCAAAGTCCACACCTGACCGCCATGTCACACAGACAACCAGCGTAGCCTGAGGGCCTCAACAGCAGCCCCAACATTCCAGCGACTGGCCCATGCCACTGTGGGCTTGCCACTCGGATTTAAGGGGACCCTCAAGAAAAGAGGATAGAGCTTCAGAGAAGATCAAACCTGGTCCTCTCTTCTAAGGATGCTTTCTGGAAGGGGCACAACAGGACCTCAGAAAGCAGCAATGAGCCTCCTCCCTACGGATCACAGACAGCACGAACAGGGTCAGGCCAGGGGTCTGCCCAGCAACCACACACAGGAGTCCTAGGAGAAGGTTCTCGGTGGCCGTCTCCAGGCCACCTCCTCTGGGCTTACACATTAGGCTTTGCTAGTTAAGGGGTGGGGTTAGGGGGACAGCACAGTCCCCACGGGTGGCACCCCCAACCTTTGGGAGCGTAGGAAGAGCGTCACACAATAAATACAAACAGAGCTGAGGTTTCTCCAGCCATGAGAAGAAAGAAGTTGGTTTGTGTGCCTACTTTGGTTACCTAAGTCAGTCAGTCTGAGTTCACAGTATAAGCAACACATCTAAATAGAACATTGGGAGCGCCTGTGAGCACTGGGTTTCCCAAGCAAAGAAGCCAAAAAAAAAAAGAAAAAAAAGAAAAAGGGCTGCAACGGGGATTCTTAGTTATTAGATACTAAGCGGTCTGTGCATGGCACATTTTATTTCTATAAAACTATTACAAAATATTCAAAAATACATTTTAGTAAATTTACAGCAGTTATTTCTCAATTTATTAATGCAAAAACATCCTTTTGTTTTCTCTGTACAAACTGCAGGCTCCATCCTCATGGGCTCATCACTATGTGCGCTTTTAAAAAATATTATTTTCTAATAAATTCTTTGAAGTTAAAAATAACAGAGTTCTTCCAGTTTGTCAAAAAAAAAAAAAAAAAAAAAGAAAAGAAAAGAAAAAGAAAAAGAAAAAGAAAAAGAAAGCAAAGCAAAGCAAAGTGTGTGTTGTGTGTGTGTAACAGTCTTGGCTTCCAAGAATGTGGCAAAATGGTGAATACAAAGGTAATATGAAACCATAAAGACAACAGAGGAGATGGCTGTTACATCGGAAACTAGTTAAATTAAAATAATATATTTTCATATTTTACACTATTTCAAAAATGAAATGTAATTCAGTTAAGTATTGATCTCTCAAAAAATCTAATTTACAATTCTGTGTATAAAAATATAATTTGTGGACCCCCATGAAGCACGTTTGAGTTTGCACTTGCTGAGAAGCAGGAGATGGAAGGGAGGGATGGCAGGGACAGAGGTTTGCTTTCTGACAGCCGGGACGAGGGACATGTAGAAAAATAGACTCTGAGCAGGTTGCTTGGCCTCACAAAATAATCTTTCCCCCGTGAGTACAGTTCACATGATCATAATAAATTATCCAAGAAACAAACTATTTAAGGCTCTTGAAGGTCCGGTTCATATTATTTAAAACATCTATTCATACCAAATAAATAGCCAGGAGAGGAGGAAAAAATAACCAAAATAAAACAATAACCAAAAAATTCAAAAAATATATATCAACTAAACACAACAACAGAACTTCCCGGGGTCCTTGTTTCCTTAGAGTCTACTTTGGACTGTCCTACTTTATTATTATTATTATTATTATTATTAT